ACCTGCCTAATGGGCCACTAGGCTCGTAAACAAACTTTACTACTTACTTCACTTTACCCTGTCTGACATTTTTGCAAAGTTTCATTGATGACAAAAAGATGACTTAAAAGATGGTGACAGAGATCTTTTCTGAAAACCTTAGCCATCAAAACTTGAGAAAAATCTTTAGGGTTTCATTCCAACAAGGTGAACCATTGATGATCCTTGAGAAACAACAAGAATTCATGGACCAAAGACTCCTTTCCCATTCAAGAGAAGAAAACTATAACACTAAACATAAGAGAATGATCAGTAAGTTTGCCTCAAGTCTAAAAACAGGCCCTTACTGGATTATGAATGTCGATCCATCTGTCAGTCTTTGACTCCACAAACTCACCATTGATAAATAGCTTTGTGTTTGACTATGATAAAAGCAGAAAAAACCTTTAATTCTAAAATTTCCCAACTATAGCACAGTATTAATAATATCTTGCTGATATGGCCCAAGTGCTTGGAAGGCTACATACAGTAGAAGTTTCATCATTGGTATTGTTGTTGTTGTTGCCCACTGAAAAGGTTTCCTCTTCCTGAGGATATATCAAATCCATCTTAAGGTCATGAACCCATTAGATGGCATATCACGAGAGTTTCAATGAAAGCTAGTTACCTGGGGTCTAACACAGCCTACAGGCCCTTTCACTGATGTCTGTTTAGCCTGCAAACGGGTTCTCGTGTTTGAATTTTGCACCAATAGAACAGCTCCTTTTTACACAATCAGGAGCGGCTTATGAAAAAAGTTCTTGAACCCTTATATCATCCTTTTGTTGAGAAACTGTTCCCAAAGACTGTAGGAGGTAATACCAACAAGGACCCACCTTATAAATATTTGTAAAAAGGATGGAACAGTATATTTTTTATAAAATAATGGTCTCAAAATACTGAAGCAAAAGATCTGAGTATACTTACACCATCTCCATAAAACCTCTTGCATGCTGCTGCCAAAGGAGCTGTCTATGAAATCAAAAGAAAAATTCCAAAACAAATTTTATATTATACCTATTGAGATTTACACTGCGAAGTACTGTCATTCATGTCTCTAATTGGACAAATGATTTCAAGGCTGTGCTTTAAGAACATTTTCAGGTAGCCCAAAGGGTTCCCAACTATTCCAGCTAGGGTGCCCAGCCCTTCAAGTTGGTCACCCCCCAATTAATTAATTTCTCAATTAATTAATTAAGCAATTAATAATTTACAATTAATTCATAATTGATTTATTTCATGTATTAATCAATTAATATTTAATCAAACCATAAATTTCAATAATTCAAGCTGTTTAGAAAGCGTTTAACTTTTGGTGTTGCTGTTTACCATGTGCAGGGCTCGAATTTAATTTTTGGAGCACTAACCCTTTTTTACTAACCAAATTATAAAGTTTGGTATCCAAGCTCACAAGTTACAATATCTCAAATATTCAACATTTTGATAATAATGACTAGGACAAATTAAAGAGTTTACCATGATTAGTCAAGAACAGTACATCTACAGCACATTCTCCAAAAAGAGTTTAAATTGTTGATTTAACAACTTGAGTATTCTTCTGAGAGTCAGGTCTACGTGCTCTTTGTCCCAAGTCCACCAATGTTCAAATATGTTAGAAAATTTTACTAACCATGTCGGGTTAGTTGGACACATTTTTAGTAACCAAACATTGAAAATTACTAACCATCGGTTAACGGGTTACCATTAATTTCAAGCCCTGGTGTGTAATACACTGTCAGATAACTTCTGGCTCCTTTTCGGCACAAACAAGTTTGACTCCCAGTCAATGGTTCCATCCCCTTAATATTTTTTCACAGTGTTAACAATCTTGAAGATCACTATTCTACAGCTTGAGTCACTGTGAAGCACGCCAATTTTATGTAAAGCAAAATGCCAAATGACCGAAATAAAATACTTCCCGCATTACAAAAATTTCCATAGAAATTTCCTTGTTCGTCCATTTTTCATAAAAGTGAGGGGCAATATGAAAAAGCTGTACATATTGAAACTGAGTAAATGTGGAGAGCTGAAATTTTCAGAAAGTCAACGAAAAATTGACTGGATATTTACCGGTACAATTAAAAATAGAGTTTCTTGTCTGACCATGAGAACCATCAGGAAAGGTAACATGTACTAAATCGTGGCACTTTGAGAGTGAAACGTTTTAATTTTTTCCAACACTTACAGGAAAGCTGTGGGATTGTGGAATAGCTACATTCTAAATCTTTCTCTGAAAATTAAAATTTCTACACCGCATGACAGAGTGTGTTACCATTTTAAGCGGTGAGCTTGCGTTATTTTTCAAAGTGGCAATTGTGTTTCTCTGGATATTTTAAAACCGCTTAGAACTTTCATTCGAAAGCACCAAACTAAACAAGTCTAAATATGAAATAGTTACAAGCTCAGTTCTCGCTAAATCTTCCTAAAAGTAATAGCAAGTCGCTTATCACAGCGATCGATAAACACCTACAAACAAAGCTGGCTTGCTGGAGATTTGCATATAGAAAGAATCTTGGTTTGAAATAAAGATAAACGCACTACACTTTTTAAATCCATCGAAACACTGAAATAAATCAGACACTGATCATCTTAAGGAAAATCCAGGTGTTAAACGCATATTTTTGCAAGTATCCATGCGGTTTATCAAGTGTGAAATAACAGGAACTATTGTTTCAATAATTATTTTTTGGGTTCATGCGAAATCATGTGGAATGAAATGTGGTAGTTACTTCAAAATCTTCGAATGTGAACAATTCGACTACGTGTCGCACAAAAGAATATTTTTTCTGCTAGTAATGCTCATAAATCAACCAAATAAAAATGTAGCAGTCAATTGCCACATTTACCATAGAAGCGAATGCTGCACAAGAGGCCAAGTGCCCGGCTGGGCAACCGGAATACTTTTTCAGTCACCCTGGATCAAATGTTAGTCCCCTGAGGTGACTGGGCGCCACTAGAGCACAGCCTTGGATTTATTTCCACATTCGTCTGCTTCCAATCTTTGAAATGTGTCAGTCAGTAAAGGCTGGTTTTCATTAGCGACGGAGTCAGAGTCGGAGTCGTAGTCAGAGTCATAAGAGCACTTATGACCTATTGAAAATCGAAAAACAGAGTCGTAAGCGGAGTCATAAGCTCAACGGAATCGGAGTCAGAAGAATCAGAACGTTCCCATTTTCTTCCTATTCCGCTTATGACTCCGTCGCTTATGATCTAGTGAAAACTGGACCTCAGTATATATAAAAGAAAAAACATTATAACATAGAAAGTGCTGATCATGAATGATCTTAATATTCACTTGATGCGATGCATTAAAAAACTCACTTGTTCACTGCGTTCCTTTGTTGGTTTTTTTTTAATGCATTGCATCTTGTGAATAAAACTTGTCTGTGCACACTGTCCATGGAGAATCTCTGCATTTCTTTCCATTATTATACTGCCAGTACTACTGGCCCGTCTTGTCTGTTCTGTTTCGCTATGCGAGCCAATTTGGTGTTGATATTCTCAAGGGTTTCCTCGGATAATCTTACCACACATATTATTCTGGAACAGCAGGCAGAATTCGAACGCCAGCCACCTTTGATTTATAGTTAGCAATGCATAACAGAATAACAAAGAGCACGTTCTGTTCAGGAAATGACTCTTGGGTTCTGTCAATAAATAATCTATGTCTACTGTATTTCGTAGCTAAAATAGATTCTGATGCTCGTTAAGCCTTCTCTACTGGAAAATTCTCGTTAAAAAGTAAGCAATTCTTTTGGCTAATGCAGGGTCTTTGTTTTCGTAGTATGAAAATAAAGACCCTAGATCTTCATTTTTCTAGTACAAAAATGAAGACCCTAATTTATTAAAAGCAGAAAATCCTTTGAAAGTGCAATTGTAGATGTACCCTGAGCACTAGTAATTGTTCGCATATGGTTTTTTAATTGTTCTTTCTGCAGCCATCACTGCTTTCGGCTTTTGGATTTGTTTTTCTATGCAATGAGTCCAAGTTTGGAACAGACATCCCTGTCAAAGGAGCGATCGGAATATTTTAGGGCCTCACCAAGGTTAAGCAGGCTTTATTCGGGCTTTTAATAAAGGGTTTTCATTTTCGTACTACAAAAACGAAGACCCTGCATTTGCCAAAAGAATTGCTTACTTTTTAATGAGAATTTTCCAGCAGAGAAACACCAAATTGGCTCGCATAGCAAAACAGAACAGACAAGATGGGCCAGTAGTACTGGCAGTATAATAATGGGAAGAAATGCGTGAAGTGTACTGTATTATATTACTAAGCCTTATTGCTTTTTAATGTGTGTTTTAACTAGTCTTGTAATTTCTACAGTGTTCTGTTTACAGGGTCTTCGTTTTCGTAGTACGAAAATGAAGACAGGGGGTCCTCGTTTTCGTACTATGAAAACGAAGACCGGGTCTTAGGTCTTAGACCTTCATTTTCAAGGGTCTTCGTTTTTGTAACACCCCCATGTACAGATGTAACAACGGCCATTCCAGGCTCCTTACCAGTTTGCCAGAGTGACTAAGACACAATATTTCTTTTTCCAGTATCAAATACAATATCAAAGAAGCAACCGATGCCATTAAGGAAAAATATAATACAATTAGGGGATTATGATTTGACCCAACACCAATTTCTCAGAAGGACCCTTGTAAGATATATAAGGTAGACAATAAGGAGGATTCCTAAAAAGATCAGGCTAAAAAGACCATCTCTTAAAAGAAAAAAAAAAAAAAAAATCAAAGTGTATCATTATAATTGGCAAATAATCAACCATTCCTTTTGTTTTCAGCACGTGTGTTTGTGGAGTGGAGGATGTACCATTTCTGCGATCTGAGGCAAGTGAATCCATAGTGCACTTATCAATTAAAATCCCGACCCCACCCCCCCCACCTTCCACCAAGGTGGGAGAATGTGGATTTTTATGGTATTTGAAGGCACGGTTCGCCTGTGGGGGTGGAGGATTTCTCAGGATTTGCTTTACACATTCATCGAGGTAGGGGAGAGGTGGGGATTGGACTCATGCCTAGTCTTATCACGGTAATTTCTTCATGTGGTCACTGGAGTTGCTTGCTGGATTTCGATGAGCTGCATTTTGCAGTTTTGTTTAGGCATCCTGGATTTGAAAGGTAAGTTTCATGATTATTTTTCTTTTTATTTCATCATTTAGATTAATCCTTTAGGATTTTGCCTTGAGCTTTCATGGTTCATTGGCTGGAAAATGTTATTGTTTTTTAATCAAAGCTTCTCACACAATGCAGATACACGCTCTTCCACTTCTAGAGTTTACTAAAACGACGTGGTTTCTTAAGTGCTAGATTTCCTCATTCTTTAGGATCCAAAATATAAAATAAAATTATAGCTAGGTGATTTCACGTTGTTGTTTTGCAAAGGACGGCTAAGAAATGTACAAAGTTTTAAAACACACGTGCTGGGCTATTGTTCTCCCCATTAGATCTATTGTTTTTCCACGTTCTCGTTGCCGTCGCCGTCGTGGTTTGCCTAAGTTCCCTATTGCTAGAGTCCCAGACGGGAAATTGTCACCCGAGATCATCAGCAAATGCAAACGCATTTTATTTTGTCGATATGTGTAGACCAAGACATTGTTCGTAACCAGTGTTTGAACGAGAGGCTAATTGCTCTTCTGAACATGTGATTCTTCCCATAACAAAGCTAATTAAACTTAAGGGTACAAATGTAGATAAGTTTAGCACCATGCCCCTAAAGAAATTTAGTAACGCATTATAAACAAATTTTTTACACTGACCAATGCCATCATAATGTTTCCGAAGACGGTACTCTAGGAAAAAAGCAGTTAAATCTTGCTTAAGCTTATCCCTACCTTTTTACCACCACAAAGTAGGCGTGAAAAAGACGACGCAGATCGAAGCATTTTCGATGAAAATAGTTGTGAAATTCCGTGTCTGTTAAGATCGAACGAGGTTAAGGACGGGGGCTAGATATTCAGGGGCTTATGTAGCTTTGGAAGGAGGGTCTGGGGGCAGCGACCATTAGAGCTCGTGAAGGGTCCCAGGAGAGCCCTCACCATATTTGGAAAAATTCCTGAAGGCGTAAGTACTGGGGATGACTGTGTTTTCTCAGGGCGGAGAAGTTGAATTTTCTTTCGTCTTTGTTGATTGTTTCCTTAGTTTTTTTGCCTGTTTGTTTGGTTTACCTGCATCATTTTAGAAGTTAATCGAAAGAAATAGAAGAATGGAATCACCAAGTCCAGGTTTGTGGTGTTATTGTGTTCATTTTCTCTGATCAAGTTTAGTTTTCATCTAGGTGCAATCGATATCCTTTCTCCCATGCAGAGCTTGATCAAAGTTTACAAGGTCTTCTAAGTTTCGAACGGTTGGACAGAGCTTCACCGGATTTGTGGCCCGAGCAGAGTGAGTTTACATTTTAGGACTAAAATAGCTTTATTACTCCACGTATCCTTAGGTATTTTGGTGTATCATAAATTTGTTATGGTTCAAATTTTTCAGTGGTGTAGGGGAAATTTAAGTTAAAACAATTTTATTTTGTTTTCCTTGATATCAGATCATGGTAAGTTAACTTAAAATAAAGCACAATAGAAATTCGAGCTGTTTAAAAAATTACGAAATAAAAAGAAATGAACCCATTGCAATGAGACTTGGCTTTGAACATTTATGGTACTTTCATGATAAGAATAATTTACAGAACTCGTCCATTTGTATTTTCTTTATTTTAACCTTAACAAGTGTGTGAGTGATTAGTTTACCCTTTAACTCCCATAAGTGACCAAAAGATAATTTCTCCTTACAATTTCAATACAAAATCAAGTAGACAAGGGATAAGAAGAACAAAATATCAATTTATAGGAGATTTTTAGTAGATTCAGTACCAAATTCTCATAGCTAATATTGAAAACAGTAGTAAGAACTGCTAATGGGAACTTGGGAGGGGAAGACTTATTTCAATAGACACCTTTACCTAATATCTTTCTACCAGTGATTTTTTTAGGGTTATAATAATGATAACAATAACCAGTATTTAATATAGCACACATATCAAAAATGTGTGCTAAAAATCATTGTGCTTTACAATAAGTATAAGAAATTCATTAAAATTAATTTAAAAGCGAACACAAAAACTGTAAATAAATATGGAATATAAATATGTTTTAAGATTCTTTTTAAATTAAGGCAGGCCATTCCAAAATTTTGTTGCATAGACTGAGAATACTCTATCTCTATATGTTTTCATTCTTGATGTTGGTGTTGCTAGGAGTCCTAGGGACCTCATCTAGGATAACAGTGTGTCTAAAGGGAGGAGAATTCTAGCTTGGGTAGGAACTGAGGATAATATTTTAGTCTTATTAGTCTTCTTTTTCGAACTAAAAAAAATCCAAATTTTGTATTCTCTATCCACAGTTCCGGGAGTGTCTGATTTTGCTTCTCTAACTGTTAGTGTAAGTAGCATTCTGTTTTTATTGTTAAAATCTTGCTTACTCCTTACCCCTCAGAGAGCCTGGTACATGACTGTATATCAACTAAGTTGAAATTGTAAATTGGCCACCGTAACGAATAAAAAAGCTTAACTTTCAAGTGTTAGCCCTTTGTTAGCCTGCAGTGCAGGCGGATTTTGGCGGGGCGAGTGGATATTCCCATCGGTTGTTCTGGCTGCCATCTTGAAGTAGAAAAACAGTGGAGAGTTGGGGCAAGGTAAAAAGTTTATCAAGCTAGTGGGAGGGAGAGAGCACCCACTCCGACATTCTCGTATTCTCGCCCCAATTCTCCCAGTCTGCAGCGATTCCAACATGGCAGCTAAACACTCCAAAGATGAAAACCACCAAAACTGCCTGCACTGCAGGCTAGCCCTTCGTCAGAGCAAAGACGAAGGGCTAACGCTCGAAAGGTCTGCTTTTTTATTCATTATGGTGTCCAATTTACAATTTCAACTTAGTTGATACGACCAAATTACCTTGTTATCTCACTGACGCAGCACCACAGTTTCTTTAGAAACTTTCAGCCTTTGTATATAATTTCTCCTTATGTCAACACCCAAAATTTTCCAATAAGAACATTAAAATAAAGGAAATGATACATGTGTTTGAGTATTTTGTACAATATACTATAATTCCCCTTGCACAAAGATGTGTGTCTACTTTCAGAAGAAAAAAAAGCTTTGACCACTTTATACAGTATTTGATATTTTTTGGCAGCCATTTTCATTATCAAGTACTCCACCAAAGTGGCTGGCTGAACTGGAAAAGGATGACATGGACATGTTACAAGGTAGATTGAATCCTTATAATTAGTCTTAGGATCTGACTCATAATCTTCCCTTTTCTAACCATAAATTTTCCTATAGATTCAAAGCTGTCAATAAAAGCTGGTAACCAGCCAAAACCAACTGCTAGTCTACCATCTTGAACCAGCAACTTACACTTTATTTTGAAAATTTTAAGTGTCTAAGGGACATTTTCCAGATTTTCAGCGGATAAAGTCATTGATCAGACAAATTGAATCTGATTGCTGAATGTGTGGTTTTCTCTTCCAAAAACCTAAAATGGAAATAAAATTGCTACTGCCCATGATAAACATCTCAGTTGTGTTAAACCACCTCCATGTTTGTCATTTACTTGAATGGTTGGCCGACATTGATCTTGGGGTAGAGACTTGGAACAAGTAAATATATGTAGAAGTTGGACCATGGGAGGGTGGCTGGGAGTTTATTTTTAATTATTCTCTCTTTAAAAATGTAAAACCCTAGGGAATAACTAAACCCATCTGATTTTTTTTCTTAGAATTTGGAAGTCTCACTACATCTCAACTAATGGAGAAAGTGCGGGGACTTCAAAACCTAGCCTTTCAGCTTGGTCTGGATGAGGGTGAGGGTTCTTTTTTTGGATTTGTTTTGGCAATTCTGATTTGTTTCTTCCTGCATTAACTCAATTTGTTTAATAGCTTACAAGTAGCCAAGCCTCTAGGAGATAGAAGGCTCCTGTTGACTTGCCAATTGAGGTTCAACTCCTTTTTTCTTCCATGTCCTTGAAACATGTGAACTTTTGTCTGATACACAGAGAGGGACATAAAGTTTTTCTTCACAAGACTAGCATTGAAATCTGATTTGATTTAGAAGAATAGCAGGGTTCGATACTAACAGTAGCGAACTTGCCACAGACCAGTAGAAATTCAGTTTTGGCTGGTGGTTTTCGGTTTCCAGTAGCCAGTTTGGCTAGTAAATGAACTGACATTTTCATAGCATCTAAGATGTCACCAGCCACTTGGCTAGTAATTTGAAAAGTTAGTGTCGAACTCTGAATAGTGTGTCACCTTTTAATCATTTTCGGTGTCAACCATTTTTGTAACTCTTTGCACTCGTGCATCAATATCTTTATTCTCCATGCTGCTTCTAACATATTTCCTTTGGTACCATTTACATTATTCTCCTGAACTCATTGTTTGATTCAGCTGTGGTGCTACAAGGAGAAATTAGATCCCAGTCCCTTGTAGGGAGTTAAAGGTAAAGTTACTGGTATGTTAATGCCATGTGAAATTCAGGTTGAATCAGCTTTTTATTCATTTCTTTCAGCCCGAGAAATGACAAGAGGAAAGTTTTTGAACATTCTGGAAAAAGTCAACTCAGGAAGAAGATAAACTTGTGTAGCTGACTTAACATTCTTGCCATTAAAATATCAAGGCTGGATGACTCTTGAATGAATCCAAGTGGCTTGATAGTCTTGATTTAAATTGTAAATAGTAGCTGTTGCTAAGAAAGAATTAAAATCATGAAGCTCTTTTCAATTGACTGATAAATGATGTGTTTTTCATGTTTCACAAAAGTGCAGGGAAGGTATGGGAGAGGTCAGATATAAAGCTAAACAAAGGAAGGGAGTAAAGGAGGTGACTTTTTTCATTCTGACCTTGGATGAAATCCATTATTGTTAAGACTTTCTTCATTACTTCTAGTTTTTAACCCACCATTATTGACTCTCTCTACTTCCAGAAGTGATGAACTTGTAATTTCTCCCTAACATCCATACATTATCTGAGAACAACATGTGAAGTTGTTCTCTTGATCTAACACCAAATTCTTGTCGCTATTTACAAGGACATGTGTAGCAGCTAGAGGAGAGAATTACTAATCAGATCTTGGCAGTTATAGGGTTAATACCAACATGGTGATTAAAACCTACACTTTCTCTTAAATTAAATTATGGTTATTCTTGTGCTTAGTGAAAATGTTATTTTGCAAAGCTTACGGTTTGTTGGAACAAAAAAAGCATTTATTTTGCTAACACTGGCACATTGTAATGAAAAAGCTCTGTCCACAAAAAGGCAGGTGAAGTGTTTGAAATCTAAAATGTCTAATGGCTTTTAGAAATCTTGTCGTAAGTAGTTTCAAAGAGGTTGAAATGCAATGGATTTTCCTAAGTGATAAAAGACTATCAAGGAAGATTTGATACCTCTTTCAAGAATAAGTGAAGTGTTATATTTAAGTGGAGATGTATAAGACACAGAAGAAAGTGGCAGGTTTAATAATTTTTATTTGAATACATACTGCCTTTTGTTTGTTTAACAGGTAAACAATAATGATCAAGAGGGCACTTTGATAGCTCTACAGTATCTTTTCAATCATCTCTACTGCAAACCAATTTCCTCAAGAAAATTATGAACCACAGTCATATTAGCCAAAAAAGTTGAGGAAAAATTAAATTTTACTTCCAAAAGGGCTTGAGCTCCATAACAAGCTTGAGAGAAAAACATGGGGTGAACACGCCGTGTGGTTTATGGTTGTCAAACAAGTTTTCGACGTTTTGTCTTGAAACAAAGTGCTTTTTCCAATGGATCGGATTTTCCCTTTGTGGGCGAAAGAGCAAGCCGCTTGAAAGCTATTGGTTCAAATTTCTGGAATGAATAATTAATTCCCTTAACATTTGACTGATTTGCTCGTGCGTGACAGGAAAAGAAAGAGTATTTAACAGTGTCAGATTTCATTGAGAAATGCTAATCGTCCGCGTTCCATTCCTTAGAGATAGTGAAGGGTATTTGTGTTTACGGTAAGATTTTTGGCAGTTTTTCGTCGTTGAATCCACGTTTCAGCTCAGTTGTCAGAGAATTAAGTAGAAGTACAAGGAAAGTGGTTTTGTATAGCGTTTAAGAGTAGGAAAACTGAGTTTTAATTACGCATTTTGGGGTGAAAAGTTCGGGAAACTTTGGTCGTCATGGCGGACACTGAGAGGAGACGTCCCATCATCGGAGCCATGTTCCGTGGCCCGGGGCCCGCTGCTTATTATTTACCTGGAACTACAGGCTACATCGGACACGATTCTTCAAAATTCCAGAAACCAGCTTACAGTTTTGGCTCGAGAACGTGGAAAAATCAACAGTTAACAGGACCTGGTCCCAAGTACAAAATAGAAGATGTTACACGATTCGGAATGGAAGGGACACCGAAGTACACTCTCCACTCACGAACAAACTTGCAAGGGAAATTCCAGACTCCGGCCCCATGTGAGTTCAGTTTATACCCTCAGAAATTAGTTCTTTTTCTCCTAGAGTTTGTTTATCCTGTAGTGCTGCGTAATAAAACAATAGAAACCCGGAGTTAATTTCTTATTCCACAACCCGCGCGTCCCTAGAGACGCCGTCTGAACATACTTTGCATGCAAACATGTCTGTTAAACTGTCGCACTTGATACGCTTAGGATCTACCTTAAATCTGAGAAAATATCGACAATAAGTACAGGATTTTGACTCCTAAGAACACGGCCAAAGAATTTACTTGTATCTTCGACTGTAATCAAATCATATCACCCTTTTATCCCAAGATCTGATTGCTAATTCTCAACTCCAGCTGCTTTACCTTTTCTTGTAGATTAGTAAGAAGAATTTGTGTTAGATCAAGTTAACTACTTCTACTTGATAAGTTCTACTATTCTCATTACCTGTCGGCAGGGTAATGTATGGATATTATAGGGAGAAGTTGCAAGTTAATCACTTCTGGAAGAAAAAGGGTTATAAGTGATCTTTAGTCAATTTCTGTCCTCCCCTTGTCTTTGCAGAAAAAAAAAAAACTCCAAAATACTAGACCTTAGCCTTTCAGTCCATCGATGACACCTAAAACTCGAGCTACCAGCAGTTGATCATGAATTAGTTAATGAGAATAGAGAAAATGATCACTGACCTAAGCTACTTTGATTGTTAAACAAAGTCTCCATATCAGTACCAAAGGAAATGTACTGCTGAGAAAAGAATGGAGAATACAGATGCCAAAGTTAGGTCGTAAAGGTTAATAAGTTGGCAGGTAAATAATTTTTTTTTCAACAAGATGTGTAACTTTTATTTCACTTTTACCTTGTGGTTATTTCCTGAAAGGGGATTACAAGGCAGAGAAAAAGCCGGTATTTAAACATGCCTTTCCCCCACAATATTCCTTTGGCTTACGTACTCCATATGGAAAGCAGGACAACAACCCAGCCCCGAACAACTACAACATGCCATCAATTGTTGGTCCCAAGGCTGTAGGAAAGAAGTCTTCAGCTGCCTTCTCTATGACAAGTAGATCGAAGATTGGAAGTTTTCATGAGGATTTGAAGAAGGTTTGTGTTTGTGGATTGCAAGAAGCAGAGTTTAACTTTTGTTAAAAAATGTTGATGGCAAACCCATGTGATGGATGTTAGGACACTTTGCCTCAAATGTCTCAACTTGCATTACCTCTTTCCCAACCCATGCCAGAAAAAAGCTGATGAAAATAGAATGCTGGTGAGGAGAAAACCCTGTGGTGTTCAAGTATTCTGTCCAAGGAGAAGAAGTGTTTGCCTCATGCCCATTCCTTAAATGTTAGCTATTTAGCTATTGGTAACTATCATGAACTCCGCCAGGCAAATGGCAAATTAATGTTACCATAATGTGCTATACAGGGTTGGGATCATGGGTTTAATTGCTGCTAAGTGTGCAAATAAGAATAGGCAGTATGTGTTAGTTTGCCTTAGCAACTAATACCATTGTTCTTCTTTCTCAACTTTCAACATTTTCATGGTCTTTGTTTATATACAGACTCCTGGACCAGGCACATATAAAGTGACTGATCCAAATATCTACAGGAACAGAAAACCCATCTTTTCCATGACTGCTCGTAACAATGCACCAGGTGACCGAACCCTAAAACCAGGACCTGGAGCCCACAGACCAGAACTGGTGAGAAAACATCATAGAGGCCATTTTTATTTAGTGCAGCTAAAATACAGGAC